ACACACGCACACGCACACGCACACACACACACACACGCACACGCACACACACACACACACGCACACACACACACACACACACACACACACTGTAGTTTAATCTGGTGTGTGATGTATTATGAAAGCACACAAAACTCACCAGGTCCTTAAAAAGTCCTTTCAGCTCTTTGGCCTCATCTTGTAGGCGGAAAGCCATCCTCTTCCTCATCTTGGACGATGTGCAAATGATCTGTCCTCGCATAACGGCCCGCACATACTCCACCAGAACCCGCCTATGCACCTCGCCCACCAGCGCCTGTGGGGTCACAGAAGTAAAGCCTGACGGTGTTGCAGAGTTATTAAAGCACAGGTGTGTGAAACTGTTTGTACCTGGTATGGAGGAGGATCCATCCTTTTAAACTTTCTAAAATGTTGTTTGATGCTTCCTTCAATTGCTTCAAATGACTCTGTGTTGTTCAACCATTTTCTCCTCATCAGTTTGTCAAAGAAAGGCTGTAACATCAAGAGATCAGGATCAGATCATTAGAAAATGTTGTCCTCACATGATGAGACAAAACCTTTACATTTCAAAGCCTAAAGGGAAAGTCTGGGTTTTTATTTTGGCTGTGTGGTGAATTAAAAAAGCTCAAAGTAATTCAAGGAGTAGAAGCCATCAACACAAACTCCAAGCTGTCAGTTTGAGCTACCTGATATATTTTACACTTTGTTGTTTTTAAACAGGTAGTTGTTTAGTTTGTTATTATTTGCATGACATTGTACACACAACTTCTAAAAGATTTCTCCCTCAACAACTACAGGAGAAAAGCCCGGCCCTCTTTAGAACTTCAAAGCTCCAATCCAGCAAAAATAAATCTTTTAAAGTTTAAATTGGTCCCAGAAACTTGGACTTTTCATGCCTGAACTGACATTTTGATGTATTTTTTTACACAATCCCAAAGGTTTGTGGTCTTCTTGCAGATTTTATCACAGAAAATTTTACTTTGTCAAACTTTTAAGATGTTTSTAACAGCTTTGTAAAGTTTAAATAAACTCTTTACATTTTATACATTCAATGTATTTTTTTCATTGGATCTGAAAGGTTTTATCTTTCAACCTGGAGGTAAAGGGTATTTTCACTTGTCACATTTCCTACATAACACACTGTAGATGAAGAATAATGAAATGTGTAACAGACAGATGCTCCTGCTGCTGACGGTTTGGGAATTTTTTTTTCCAAAAGACTTAGTTTTCAAACTGTGGCTGTTTGTTTAAGGTTTACTTCATGCTCTATATTTCTGTCTGCCTGCCTTCATAAAACACCAGCTATAAATAATAATATGGGGGTATTTAATCCTTTAAAAACCTGGTGAGTGGAATGTGTCAGATTTTGTTTTTTCATATTTGGTGATATATAACGGCAGGYGATGTTTGTAAAGACAAAGTCTTTTATTGCCTGACCCTGATGTGCTCCAGCAGCCTCTCAGTCAGCACCCTGACGGACTGGTTGATGATCCGGTCCAGCGAAGAGTTTGCTCTCTGTGCTGACTCCTCACTTCCCTGTGGGTCACACTGTCTGCAGCGCTCCACAAAGGACCTGCAGGTTACACAACACAAAACACTTGTAGCTCAGTCCGTTCAGTATATTTTGTTTCTGTTGTAGTGAATTCTCTACCTTAACGGAGGGCAGCAGTTGACCAGAGCTATGGTCCTGGACACATATCCATCTCCTCTGTCTCCAAACTCTGCCTGAGTCTCATGAAACATCTCAACTTTCCTCTGGAAACTGGAAACATGGAGCTTTTTAGAACAATGTCATAAATGCAAGYTCAGTCTGTGTGAGCTGAAACTAGCTCAAYGAAAAGTGTCCTGATGCAGCTCWATATACCAGGTAGAAAAATCTTTAAGTAGGTCCTCTGGACAGGTTCTTTGTTGAAATGGTAAATGGCTTGAACTTGTATAYCYCCTTATCAAGACCATATAGACCCCGAAGCATTTTACACTTCACCCATTCACCCCAAGAGACTAGCCTGGTGAGAAACAGTTTCTTGTTGGAGACATGGARTCTSTTGAAGTTTAAAACTATTTGATCTGATTTACCCAGTTGCTAACGGTTGACAGTGACGTACAGTATGCTGTGCGCCAGCTTTGAAGGAAGCTAAGCCAAGAAACTAACCGGAAATCGTGTGCCCTGTAAACAACCATCCTCTTCTGAGAAGAGAGAAGTACTGAGCTGAACAAGATGGCTGTAAATGAGTTTGTGAGACAAATTTAATTTAATTTGAAAGTCTTGTCAACACGGATTGAATGGCTTCATTCCTCTGCTGAAAGCAGAAAACTGATGACATCGTTTAAAAGTCCTACTTCTGTTCACTGATTGGCCCAGTTAAAATTCTACCAGAGAAATCCTTGTCTATGGGGAAAAACCCAGAWGGAGCAGTGAAGGGAGACTAGAAATGAGCAGAACTGTGTAGGAAGACAAGGGCCAGGCTACCATTAGACTTCTTCAGTCTGAGGAGTTTCAGGTAAACTCAGCCTTATAAGCAGTAAACTTTCCATCGTCTGTCTCCAGTTGACTCCCTCATACAATGCTGTTATTGTGAGTATAATTCAGCCCTCTGTGAACAATAACTGATAAATATCATTAGACTGAGGGTCCTCTAACAATAGGGATAARCATTTGTTAGGCTGATGGTCCTCTTTTACATGTGAACAATCAGTTTTGATTGTCATCATTAAACCTGTTTGTCCACCATGTGGAGGCTGTGCTTATTAACTGAGTTTACCTGAAACTCCTCAGAATGAAGAAGTCTCTTGGCGGAGAGATGAAATATTTCTTTAAAGAACCCATCTAGAGGACCCATTTTAAACTCTTTTTTTTTTTTTTAGCTCAAAGCAACAATCAAGCTCAAAGGGGAATRTTTAAAGTGACTGCAAAAACAACCCGACCAGCTGTAACAGCTACAATTGACAACTGGCAGCAACTTAAAGAAGGTTACCATCAGTCTAATAATTTAATGATTATTTTCTTAACTGCAGTTTTTGCACACGATTTGGTCAAATTTGATTTATCATTAAGTTTAATTGGTTTATTCATTATTGCACATGTTGTTACTTCAGACTCGTTCTTTAACTAAATAATATTCCAAACCCTCCAGCTGTTTCCGGTTCTGACATGCTCTCACCTGTACAAGAAGTTGGCCAGTCCAATCAAACTGCAGCGAGCCACTCTTGCACCCAGAAACTGGCTCACAGATGTTGATCTGTCCAAGTCCACCTTCAGCCTCTGGAAGTATTAAATGCAGAGCTGCACTTCTCAAAAAATAAAAAAAATAAAACTTTTCACGGGGCTGTGTAAGCTTACCTGGATGATTGAGCGTGCTAGTTGTGACTGAAACTCTTCAATGTACAGAGTCTGGGCCCATCGCCTCTCCTCCTCATCCAGAACCTGAATCAGTTCTGTGGTCACTTTATCCTGAGATGTAGAGTATGAGCTGAGTTTTCTCAGTGTTTTTTTTCTCAGGAGCAGCTAAAAGACTTGTCTTCTCACCCTGACTATCTGAATGCAGTCCTCCTCTAGCCTGTCKACTGTCTTCTGAGGGAGGATGGGCTCCAGAGCAGCATAGTTTATTGGTGTGGTAGTGCAGATGGTTCCCAGGACATCCCTTGGGGAAATGGACATTAAGTATTGCACAGAAACTAGATAAGTCATCATGGAGACATTCAGTAAACAGTGTTCTCACCAACCTGTTGTAGATGTTGTAGAACCAGTCCAGCAGAGAGTAGACGTCTGTAATCTGCAGRGGCCCACTAGTGATGGTCCGAAGGCGTTTGGCTACAGCTCGATGGTAGCTTTCTACATAAACCTGGAAGGCTGCAAACTCCTCTGGGTAAATGGAGACTGCGTTCCTTCTGGCTGCATCKAGATCATCCACCATCCGGCTCCTAAGACGCTCCAAATACAAGGCCAGTTGTCCTGCTTGGGTGTCCACCTGAAGAGGCAAGCTCCAGTCTGCAGCTTCTGTCACCGCTTGCCTCCACTTCATCTTCAACCGTCGAGGGCGCTGGCTGGGGTGGATGTAAGAGCTGGTGCACTCTGTCCTGGTCTCCTCTCTTAGAGCCCAGGCAGCATCAGCATGCTCCTCCTGTTGGATTACGAGCACCACCAGACCAAGGTTGGGACCAGCGCTAGGCTGACGGAGGGATTCTCGCACTACGTCCCACATCTCCTTCTGAAGGGCCTCATACAACAGTTCCACYTCTTTAGCCTTCCTTCTGCTTGAGTCTAGGGTTGCGTTAGAGCTGAGGGCCTCATCTAAGGATGAAGATGATAAAGGAATTCCACCAAATGGGGTACTGGGACTTTGTGTAGGAGTGAGGGTAGGAGTACTTTGGTTCGGCAGCAGAGACAGAAGCTCACACTCTCGCTCCAGCTCCTGAATGTGTGTGTCAGCCAGGAGAAGGTCTCTGTGGTTGACCAACTGCAGGATCTCTAAAACTGTCGAAGAGTAAGGGAAAAAACAGAAGGGCTTGTTTCATTTCAAAGGATACAATAACAAAACAGTTTACAGTCAACATTGTTAAGGTTCCACACGGGGCTATTTGGAGCTCATTCTCTGCAATTTTRTTCATCTACAGAGTAAGAAAACAGCAGCTTGGTTGGATTTTACAATAACATTGGGCAGTAGGAAGTGCAGTTATTTTCTGGTTTCACAGCTGGATGCAGAACAAATACATTGACATAGATCTTGGACCTTTCAATGTAATCAGTAAGTTGTCTTGAWCTGAGAGGAAAAACAGAAAGTTTGACAATGAGCTGAACTGATGCTGTTTTCTTGATCATACCTGATAGGGGCTCTCGAGTTTTGACCACTGGTTCTTCCTCCACCGTTTCCTCGTCATCCTCTTGGGATGTCTTGTCTGACATGGACTCTCGTTTCAGCTTGCCCAGACTGACTATCTTTAAGAAGGAGGGTCTTCTGGACCCCTCGGGCTCACACTCTGTGCTCAGCTCCCCACAGGGCAAACTTTCTCTGCGCTCCTCCTTACGTCGACCTGTGAAGCTATAGGAGAGCATTATGGTCCCTCTCTTTTTCAAAATGTATTATATTATTATTTAACCAGGCAAATCCCATTGAGATTGCAGATCTCTTTTGCAAGGGAGGCCTGGGCCTGATCTTCAGGGATTTGGAACCATAAATAGGAACAATCAGCCTGCAGATCTGCATTGTACTGACCAGAGTGAAAACTGCAGCTATGGTTGGAATGCAAACACACATCTGTTAAACTGTGCTGCTGCAGAGAATGCTCAGCTCAGTTAAAAATAGTTCAGTTTAATGGGGGTGTTAGGGACAAAGCATGTCAGAGGAAAACAAAAGACATTCTGCAGACCAACAGCTTTTTATATAATATTACATAAACCCTCAGAAACTCAAGGTAAGACTGGATTTCCTGTTTTAACTCCTCCGTGTTGGACTTTGAAGAATCAAGAACGTTTGAATCAGCAGACACAGTCGGACTATTTCCACTGATTTTAGTCAACATTTTCTGATTGTTTGATGAAAGTAGCTGATCTAATGTAAGCTATCTTACTTTAATTTGTTATTTAAATGGTGGTTTAATTAAAAAATACACAGCAGAAAAAGAAAAAAAGGATGTGTTTTCTTCACAGAGTTAAATTGAGTTGTTCCTCACCGAAGCAGGGTCATAATCCCCTCTGAGCCCCTACGTAGTCCTTTTCTTTTCTCCCTCTCTGCTGGGAGTGTGTTTGAGTCTCCAGAGCTGTAGTGGGGTGAGGTGTTCCCCCACACATTTCTTCCTGATATGCGAAGCCCCTTTCCCAGCTTTTCGAGGGTTTTGAGGGGTGACACTCCACAGATCCMCTCCAAAGTCCCCCTGAGTGGCTTCCCTTTGGGGTTCCCTGCACCATGCCTCTCTGCATTCACCTCATTCTCCTCTTCTTCTCCATCACAGAAGGTCCTTCTGACCTCCCCCATMATGAGGCCTGTGTCAGCTCCATGCCTTTCAGCATCATCCAGGTCCACATCCTCAAAAGGGTTCAGATTCTTGTTCATGTCCTTCAGGTCGTTCAGCTCCTTCAGATCATTCAGGTCATTCAAGTCCTTTAGGTCCAAGCTGAGTTGAGGTAGGATCAGTTCTCCATTCACTCTGGGGAACTCAGTGCAGCTCTTGGACCTTCCTGGGAGCTTTTTAAGGATGGGCATGACTGCAGGGAATACTTCAACAAACTGTGGAAACAAAAAGGTGTTGGACAAATGTTCAGAGAAAGAGCTTTAAATGTCACTAACTTTAATCAACTTACAAACTATTTTCTTCATTTTGGCACAGGCAGGTTATGTAGAGGACATCTTTAATATTTGTGTGTTTGTATATTTGTTAATAATTGTGTATTTGTATCATATTTGTGTTGACTATCTGCAGTTTCTGGATAAAAACTAACACAAGGGATAAAAGAAACCATTTAGGTTAGACATTTTTACCTTTGAACAAACCATTCTGCACATTTAAATATACTGTACTTATATAGCACCTTTCTATCCAACCAGGATACTCAAAGCTCTTCACAATCTGTGGCCTCATTTACCCATTCACATTCACATAGCTCTCTACTAGATCTCTACAAAGATAAAATGTACAAATCAATCTATGGCGACTAATCAGTGTTTTAAATCACATTCATACACTGATTTAAAACATAAGAGGCAGTTGGGTTTCAGTGTCCTGCCTAGGGACACTTTGACATGTGACTGATTCGAACTGCCATCTTTATAATTTAGAGGATGACTCTTTTAACCACAGTCACATTTTATATTTAGTGTAAAGTGAAAACAAACATATCAGTAAAACATTTATAGTTTGTGAATATGTAATCAGATTGACCTTCAAATTTTTACCTGCTCATGTTCAACTASATAGATCTGTTGAACCGGTTATTCTAAAATAATGAAGTAAAGACATTTTTAAATTTATTTTCATTAACATTTGTTCTTGTTTCACCTCATTAAAATTAAAATATTGATTCTGACTGAGGACTGCCTGAAGACTGACTGAGGACTTCTGATTCAGCGAGTGAAGGCACGCCTGTTTTCAACATACATAGTCTTTTTAATCCTGACTACCTTGTGTGTGGACTGACTAAAGACTGACTAAAGACTGACTAAGGACTAACTGAGGATTGACTGAAGACTGACTGAGGACTAACTGAGGATTGACTGAAGACTGACTGAGGACTAACTGAGGATTGAC